CAGCATCCACAAACACGGGACTATGTGTGTGTGTGTTTGTGTGTGTGTGTGTGTTATGATGTCTGACACCGCGGTGGAGGACGAGGAGGGTTTGTCGGACGAGGCTGCGACGCGCTGACTCAAAGGCACTTGGTAAAAAATACCACAAAATCTATGTACTAGTCTGTGCATTTGCTGTTTATATGCGCGCATTGCCTGCGCCAATCTTTACAATGATGGCAGCGGCCTGAATACATCATCATCACGGGCCGCTACCCACGCTCAGGCGATGGGCTTGTGGGTTAGTGAGAGGGAAACAGAAGACCTTACCAGTGTGTCGCTGACGTAATCAACGTCCTTGCCGGTGAGATCGATGCCATTGACGGAAAGCAGCTCATCACCCTCGTTCAGAAGGCCTGGTAAAGAGACGAGTCATATTACCATCAGCATAGTCAAAAAGCAAGGACTCAAAATAAAATAAGCCGAGACATCCTCTCACGGAAAAAATGTTTAAATATTTTTTTCTTGTGATTCCTATGTAGGAAATTGTGTCTTCTTCCAAGTTTATACCTGAAGGAGGTGTATCTTGCGGTTTTAGCAAAATTTCTAGTTATAAGCTATTCAAGAAATGTCTATTCATGGGGCACCGTATCTGCCAATTTTTCAAAGCTGTTTATAAAATATACAAGGTGATCCAGGTCCAGTGCAAAATTTTATAAGAACTATGTGACTTTGAATGGCTGACTTTTTTGTAGATAGACTGTACAGAGTGTGTAGTTTCGAAACGCTAGACACATGTGCTTCGACAAGCCGAGGCCAAGACTATTCGGGATTTATAAAAGCCTTTTAGAACTGAAGCATAAAACTTGAGCATGGAATTCGAATAAAGTCTAGTACCTACAACGGAATACAAGAAAGCATATTTTCGTGTATTTTTTCTATAAAATATGCTTGAATCTATTAGGGTTTCGAAAATCAATGAGAAAAATCCATGTCATTTTATTTGAGTGGAAAACACATTTTAGAATTTGCATTGACATTGCATGCGATAGGCAATTAGCTTTCGGATTCGGGATCTCTATGCTCAGATCAAATGCTCAAACCCTCGACGGACGAATTGGGTGAAAAAAAAACAAGTGCAAAAAAGGAGGCTTCAGTTGCTTGTCAAATTTTACTAATAGCAGTCTAAGCAATTTGATAATCGGGCCTCTGGGCACAAAGGTAAAACAGAAGAAGCTGAAAGAGATATATACCTGAGCGTTCGATGAGACCTCCGCTCATGATGCGACCAATCACAATAGCCGAGCCCTCAGCACGCACGGTGGCACCCTGGAAGGAGATCGAACACCGTTTTTTTTTTCAGAAACAATCGCCCACGGAAAAAGAGAAGAAAATACGGTCTGTGTACAGCAGACGCCAAAGATCATACAATATTTCGACATATGCGAAAGGCTGATACTCTTTCGCTAATCGGCATTGACTCAAGTTGTGATACTGATTATCC